CATACCTGTATTTCTCTGGCCATTCATTAAAATTTTAAATATGGTTTCAAGAAAATATAACATTTAAGACCAAAGGAATTAATCTCAGTTCATATACTAGCTCAGTCTGTCAACATTTTCATGTTAAGTGCAAACCTTTATTTATTTTACGTATTTGGTGAAAAATACGTTCTACCAACATAATTGCTGAGGAGCTGTTAAGATTCCTTATATCCTTGACAAATGAAACAAAACTCTGACTGGCAATCGACACCTTTCTTAGCTCTGATCTGACTGAAGTCAGAGAGGAGGACATGATCTCCCCAATCACACCCTAGACTTCCTCTGAGGACTCGCTCAGATCCAATTATCCTCATTCTGACAGCTTGAGAACTCAGGCAGTGGTACAATTTCAAGCAAAAAAACCATCTTGAAGTTAAAATTATAAAATAGACTATTTCTAGCATGGTAACCAATATGCTATATTGTAGAATTATACATTCAGTTTACTTCTGCAACATTAGCATTAATATTTTTATAAAAGAAACAATAAAAACATATTCTATATGTTCAGTACGCTACTATTTATAAACTCCAGCTACAGGATATCACCATGGTAATAGGAATATACAAACAGCTTCGTCCTCCATGCTATGATAGAAGCATTACTAATTTAAAGAATGCAATATGCTTAAGATGGGCAAAAATTATTTCAAAATACAGTCAACAACATGCTCATGAACAGGAGAAAGATGAGTACTGAAATAGCAGATAGAAGTGAACAGAATCATTCTGAAATGCACAATGACTTACAGTCACTCTTGGAATTGAGAGAATGAAGTTTACAAATGAATGAATGAATGAAAGAGTGAGTGAGTGAATGAGGCAACACAATGACTGAAAACACAGAAAGGAAGAAAATTCAGGTAGAAGTGCTACTGTGTCAAAATGACAGTGTGATATTTGTTTATAACCTCAGATGTAAGATAGAACCTATCTTTTGAACCTATAAGTTGCTATTTTATACATTTATATTCAGTCTTCAGTTTTGAACAAAGAAAGATGTATAACATCAGGTCACTGATTTCACAGAACATGAGAACATGCATGTACATTGGTTATTTCATTTAATAAATATTTACTGCATGTACTTAGGCACCAGGAAACAGACAATACAGAAGACTTTGACACCAGCCTTAAGAACGAACAGTCTAATGGGTAATGCAGTCCTCTAGGTAAAACATAACAATTTAGTGTAACTCCAGAAACAGAAGAACATGTAAAGCATTATGAGAACATAATGTCATGGCAATGTGTTTCCCAATTAGAAAGAACTGATGCTTTTATCTACACTAAAATCTAGGTTTTACTGAAAGTTAAGTGGCAGCGATTTATGAAATACTATAGAACTTACAATCTGTTTAATTGACTAGAGGCAGATAAGTGTACATGAAGACATTTGCTTGAAATATGATATCTCAACTTAAAAACAAATAATTATGAGTTGTTTAAATTCCTCTAATATCTAACAACTGTCAAAGGAAAGTAGAGAAATAACACTGTAGTGGAGCTTTATTAAACTGACAAAAAAGCCACTGAAAGGGCACTTCTGCAACAATGTCTGAGACCAGCATTCTCTTCTTGGTGAACTAAAGAGAAGATCAATGTAAAAACCTCTCAATTCCCTTGACAGAAAGCTCACCAGGGTGCCCAGGGAGAACACCATGCCCAGTCTTGGGGAAACCGTGAGAGGCACCTTTGAATATTCTGCCTCTCATTTTACATCAGCAGTGATTCCTGCGGTTGTCAGAGCCCCTACTGAAGCAAGGCTTAAATTTCAACTTAATTCAATGGGAAATAGACCAAGACTGCAACTTTGCCTAAACTCATAGAGGGCAGCTACTGCTTCCCAGTGAGCAGTTAAAGTATACAAAGTTCTTGAAAGAATTACTCTTAAGATCCCACCCTTCCTCCCTGACACCAATCACTGGAAGAAGAAAACCCACTTAGTAAAGAAAAGTGAAATGTCTTTTTCCTAGCTAGGAAACATTACCTCCTAGGTCACTTGAACTACTTGAGCTGTTATATGTTGATTAAATACTTTTTGGTCATTCCCTATTCTTTATGTGCTAACTGCGTGCTAGACCTGGGGAATGCAATCTTTTTCTTAAAGGGCTAGATAGTAAATATTTTAAGCTTTGCAAGCCAAGAAGCAAAAAAAAAAAAAAAAAAGTATGTACTTATAAACTCATAGCTTGCTGATTTATGTACTAGATCACTGTCAAATATACAAGCCAAGCTAAGACCATTAGGTTATTAAGTTAAAAGGAAAGATCTTTTGCACCAAGACCTAGCTTTTTCCAATAAGAGCTTACTGGGACGATCTAAGAAAGCTCTGTCCAATAGAATATCTATTGGAGAACTGATATTTATTTATTTCAATATTTATTTCAATACATGTTTCAATACCTATAGAAAAAGTTCTATATCTATACAGTTCACTATGGTAGCCACTAGACCCAAGTGGCCACTGAGCATTTAATATATGTTCAAGGGGCACCTATGTATGTCAGTTGGTTGCGGGTCTGACTCTTGATTTTGGCTCAGGTCATTATCCCATGGTTGTGGGATGGAGCCCTGCCTCAGGCTTGACCCTGCTTGGAATTCTCTCTCTCTCATTCTTTCTCTCTCTCTCTGCCCCTCTCCCTTAGAAGTGGTCTCTCTCTCTGTCTAAAAAAAAAATATGTTCAGTGTGACTGAGGAACATTTTATTAAATGTTAATTATTTTAAATTTACATTTAAATAGCCACATATGGTTAGTATAATAGAAAACAGATTTAATAGTCATTATAGATCAATTAACAGGTCTTACCTAAATTTGCTTGGGTTTTTGGTGACCCATTAGATTAGTGTGGGTATAAATATTTTTATAGGACATAAATATTTTTATTTTCATAATTTTATGTTTTTATCAAGAGATAAAATTCAAATTATTTTTAATTTTTGGTTAAAATTCTATTGGGAGTTCAAAATTATTCATGATGTCATTATATTATAGAACTGAAAAGACCTTCAGAGGACAATTAGTTACATTCTGTCAAGTACAATGTGTGTGACATGTTCCAAAGAGGGCAAAAGAGGTATGCTGCAGGATGGCTCCAAACTGGATTTTTGAAGTTAGGAAGGTCTGGAATAGAGTATTGGTTCTGTTATAGAGTGGTACTAGGACCTCAGGCAAGCTATTTCGCCCCTTTATTCCTTAGCTTTAGTAAAACAGGACAGTAACCATGGCTTCTCTACTGGGTTGCAGTGATGACTGAAAGAGATCAAGAACCCAGGACAGTGTTCTGTCACTGAAATCATGAATGTTACTATTTTATTACCACCATTAATTAAAATTAATAATCTGTATGATAAATATTCTAGTAATACACTTTATAATCTGGCTTAGTAGAAACCATTTCATAATTCTGCATGGGCGAGAGCTACAGATGTGGTTTGTGATACACCACTGTATTGTTATCCAGAAAATATAAGTTAGAATCTAGTCTCTACAACTTACTAATGTAGCCAAGTCACATGTGTAGTCAGAGCCTCATTTTCTTATCTGAAACGAGAATATTTACCTCTCCAAGTTGTTGAGAGAATAAAATATGTGAAAAATCTTTGCTCATATAAAAAAATACTGAGGAATAACTACTTCCTTTCTTCTATCTCTAGGGTCAAAGAGATTGTATCCTTCAAAACTTAGTTGTCAGGATTAAACGGTAGAACAAGAGTAGTTTTTCTGAGAGTTAAATTATAACATTTATGAAAATTAATGATATGAAGAATAAAAAGCATAATCAAACCAAAAATGTCAAAGTAGCCATGTTGGTGATGGTAACATACCCACACATGTGAGAAATCCCACAGGTATATGTCTTTGTCAAGCATGGAACATTGAAATGTAGAAAACAGGGGAAGCCAGGAGATAAACTTTGATGCCTTAAGGAAGGAGAAATCCAAACAAATGCTTCATCTGTTCCTGCACCAAGTGTTTCCGTACCATGGAGACAGATGCAAATGATCGGATGCCATTACACATTATTATCACTCCAACTAGATGGCAAATAGGACTCATGTTACCTGCCAAATCCTAATGAACTGCAGTGGAGGCTCTATAAGGCCCCGTAGGCCACGTTTGACCTCAGTAGGGATGAGTGCCATGATTGATTAGCCCTGTCTACCAAGAGTCAGGAGGAAGGGCAGGAGGGGACACCTTCACATTTTGTTTACAGTTTCTTTGATACCACTCATTGCCATTTATCTGATTTTGAGACCACAAAACATCTAAGTGCAATATGAATTTCACATATCTTTCTGTACAGAAAATAGCCTGATATCTGAGAGGCCAGCTCTCTTAATCATTATATTTCTGGCTTGTAAATTATTCAGTTGGCTTGCTGGTTCAGTGACTAGTTTCTGGTGGGTTTACTTACTCCAAGTGGGCAGTAGGATACAATCTCAATTCAGAAAGTCCATTTTCTGAGTCAGCAATTTTGATAAGCAGACCCCACACTATGGTAAATTCACAAAGGTAAATTTTATGTGACTTCTTAGTAGCCAAATGGAAGGCTGGCTCTCCTGCTCAGATACTTCTTTTAGATTTTAACAGACTATTTGTAATCAGTTTCATCATTTCCAATTTTTATATTTTCTTAGTTTTCTTAATTTTTCTTAGTTTTTTCTTCACAGGACTGCTTCTGCCAATCTTAGATGATGTTGTATTCTATATGAAAGCTCTCACCATTTTTCATTTTTAAGTGTAAAACCAGCAAGAGAACTTTGAGTAGACTCTAGTTCTTTGTCTATGATTTCATCAGCCTATCAACATTACTTAGGTCTTCACCTTTCTTTTGATTCTTCCATGTTTCTCTCCCAGGCCCCAAAACACTCAGACATAGCCCTTTTGAGACAGCATCATTCCTTTTTCATGTCCACACACCACCCTGATTAAACCTGTGTTTTATAATTTTACCTTTCGAACATTTGCCAAACGATTCATCATCAAAGACTCCTCTCGGTCATCATCATCATCCAGGTCCAGCATCGGCACTCCAAAGGGGTCAATGATGCTACAGCATCTGGAACCTTCATCCCTTGGATCAAAGGGGTCGACGATGATGGGCTCTGTTCCTTTTATTTCACAGCGACAGAAGGGGCAGCCCTGGCCGTCTGACTCCTGAACAAAAAAAAAAAAAAAAAAAAAAAAATTAATTGGTTTTTGTTCAAATAAAACGGTACTGAGAGGGGCCAATGTTCTGCAGCTATAAAAAGAAGTTGCATACAAGAGGTTTTAGGGTGGACAGTGAGAGTGAAGGAAGACCTGTCTTGAAGAAGTAATAGAGTAGAACATGGAGCCAACAAAATATGATAAATGTTCAGTATCTCAAATTTTCAAAAAAATTTTCTCTAAAAATCTCTGATTTGCCAAAGAAAAGGCACCTAACTTTATTTTCCAGAATGTTCTCTTGTAATTGTAATGTATCACAACTTCAGGGTCCTATAGGAAAATGGAAACTGAGTTATATCCTATTTTACCAAAATGCACCAACTAATTAAACATTCTAAACAAAGCATATTTTGATAAAAAATCATTATAAATAAAGTAGCAGTATCAATTAAGACAAGCCATTCTGGGGCACATTCTGGGATGCGTCCAACTTCAGCTCAGGTCATGATCTCATGGTTCATGGGTTCGAGTCCTGCATTGGGCTCTGTGCTGAGCTAGCTCAGAGCCTGAGCCTGCTTCAGATTCTGTGTCTCCCTCTCTCTCTGACCCTCTCCTGCTCATGCTGTCTCTCTCTCTCTCAGATATAAATAACAAATTTTTTTTTAATTTAAAATAATAAAAAAAATAAATTAAAAAACAACAACAACAAGCCATTCAGGAAAAGTTCCTGTGCATACAACTATGGATAAATATTTCCATTTAAATGCCTAGGTTTTAAAAAAATCATGATTTATAATTGGTGGGAAAAAAATAAAAGTAAATTTACATCCAGAAACCATCATCTGTCCTGAGAGCCTGTCAGTCTGACACAGCTCATTTGGAATATAATGCCATGTGAAATATTAAATTTTACCTCTCCTCTTGCCTTGAAACTAGATACTGCAAAAAGATTTGTGCTAATACTTTTGGGCCAGGAACTCATTTATTGGTAATTATTGAAGGTTTTGTTCAAAGTCTCCCAATTCCATTTCTCAAAACTAACTGAATCAGAATTCACAATTGGCTGGGAAATAGGATAAGACTATGTTCTCACCCGGCATATAATGCTTCCTTCTAGAGATAGATGGTGTATGATACTCACCACCATGTTTTTGTTTCTGCATTTTACCCTGATTTTAGTAGTGTTATTTAAAAAAATAGTAAAAATCAGGGGCGCCTGGGTGGCTCAGTTGGTTAAGCATCCGACTCTTGATTTCTCCATAAATAATTATCTCATGGTTTGTGAGATCGAGCTCCATGCTGTGATCTGTGCTGAAAGACTGGAGCCTGCTTGGGATTCTCTCCCTTTCTCTCTGCCCCTTCCTCCACCTCTCAAAAATAAATAAGCTTTAAAAAAATAGAAATCATAAAACCATATAAAGGCAGAAATGAGATGAATCAGCACCATTTTAGAAATGAGACAGGGATGCAAAGAGAACTAACATCTTTAAAGAAACCATTCAGTACTTAAGACTGTCCCACCCACTTGTTATGGTGGGAAACTGGTGATCTGCATTCCCTACGGTGACACTCTGATCAGCAGTGGAGTAGTATTTTTGCTTCTCCTCTCACTAGACAACTACTGATCTGCCACTCTGGCAGATCTTGTGGTAGATGGGTTATTCTTTTCCAAACATCACTCAGATTAACAAACTGAACATCTCTCTTTGCCACACAAATTGTCAAAAAAGAAAAACAAACACTCTTTGCACTCATCAATGAAAAGAAAGCACATTTCCTTATTCATTTACTGTTAGATAATTAGGGCAAGAAACTTGGGGTGGTAAAGTAGTTGAACTAAGGTGGTGGGGAGAAATACAGACATGCTGATACAAAATACTTTGATGTCTACTGCTGCATATGCTTAAACTGAGGTGCTTCAAGGCAACTTAAATATTTTGTTCCATCATTCTACAGATGATGACCCTAAGTCTTAATTGTTTTATATTATGTTAACAGTTCCTAACAGAAGAATAAATATTTAAGGAAAGCTAATAAACCTTTATCCTGTCTTTTGTTAACAGGAACACTAAATGCAAGTGCATATTCTAATATATAAGAGCAAAATAGGAAAGACGTTCCCTGTGTGTCTTTAATGCACGAAGGATAGAAAGTAGGACTCTAGTCCCTACATCATTCATTCATTCATATGTTAAAAAATATATCGAGAAAATCTAAAACATACATAGAAGTAGAGAGAAAAGTGTAATAAGTCTGTATCTACCACCCCATTTTAACAATTATTGATTCATGTCCAATCTTGTTTCATCTGTACCTTCCACTTTCTCCCGTGGATTATTCTGAAGCATATACTACATATTACATAAATTCATCTATAATGTTTTAGTGTGTGTATCTAAAAACAGAAAAATTTATAAGACTTAACAAAAGTATAATTACCATAACTAAAAGTTAGTCCACTTGATTTAAACATTAAAGTCATTGTTTTTTAGTACAGTCCCCAGGATGTTTATGCCACAACATTCAGCTACAATAGCGTCTCTTAGAAACTTCAATGCCAATTCAATGCCAATTTGCACATTGCTTTGGGATGACTTGCAGTTTATGTCATCCATTTTTCGATAAACGGTAACTGAAGAGTTTGGAAAGGGGGAGGAGGGAGGTAATAACAGCATCTTGATGGTTCCAAGAGAAAGATTAGGAAGAGTTCTTCTATACCTGAATTTAGATTCTCTCCATCTCTGCTTTCTGAAAGTTTTTTGAATTTTTTTAACATTTATTCATTTTTGAGAGAGAGAGAAAGATAGAGTGCAAGTGGGGGAGGGGCAGAGAGAGAGGGAGATACAGAATCTGAAGCAGGTTCCAGGCTCTGAGCTGTCAGCACAGAGCCCGACGCGGGGCTCAAACCCATGAGCAGTGAGATCAAGACCTGAGCCGAAGATAGACGCTTAACCGACTGAGCTACCCAGGCACCCCGTGAAACTTTTAATACTATACACATTACTGATGTATGTTAGAGTAGCTGTTTTGTGAGTATCCATCAGAAAAAATATTTTCTGTTTAGCTTTATCTTTGTTGATTACTCACATTACTCACTAAATGAAAAACAAACAACAAAAAGCACCCCCCCCAACCCAGCTGCAATGTACATCCACTTTGATTTGCAGACATAGATCACTATGAACATGTCTCCTTAATGATATTTACTCTAATATGACTTCACCCATCACTCTTTTTCGGTAAACTGAATCCTGGCGTATGCAAATTAAGTTTAACTGTAAATTCTCAAATGCCACTTTGACACCCTGCCCTAGTTTCTGTCATATGGGTTAATTGAATACACATGAAGAATGTCTTCGATAGACACATAATTCATCAGGATTGTGCCTCAATAATTACAATAATGTTTCTGTCAACATATACTTAATGCAAGATCAAGAAACGTATGTTATTGAAGAAGAAAAACCAATAAATAATTCCTTTTCTGCTCCTCAACATATTCACATTCTGAGGATGTGAAGAGGAAGTACATGGGTCTCCATCCATTCTAATGGACTCAATAGATTATACTTCCTCAAATAAGAAATACTTCCAAGGCAAAGATACAGAAGCTATCAGTGAGTACTACCCCATCTGAGATGTTGACTACGTAATATGCTCATGACAAAAGAATTCAGACTCCTGTGACAACCATGAATACTAAGTTAATAATATAAACATAAATATAACTTTAGGTAACCTAAAAACAAATTAACATTTTATAGAAAAATAGAAACAAAAATTCTTTAACTTCCAAAATTTCCCATTCCCTAGTAACACTCTATGTAAAAATCCAAATAAATGTCAGTATCTCATCATCATCATCATCATGTATTGGTCAGCTTCCATATACTTTCTGTTTATATATTGGTCATATGGATTTTACCTCTTAAATAACTTCTTCATTTTTTAAAGATACATTATACATAATACAATTTATTTGCTCTTACGATGAGTATTAGAGGTCATACTTTGTTTTAAAGTTAGTCACTACAAGGCTTTCCACAAAAACAGTATACCTGGAGAAAGCTAAAAACTAAATTTTTAGCTTTCTAAAATGAGGCTTTTGAGTCTCATGTATGGAGTGCATTTTGTATTTTTTTACTGTGTGTATGTGTGTGTGTGTGCTTTCTATATCAGTAACTTCTAATTTATATTACTTTGCTATCATTTCACATAGATTTGAAGTTACCATAAATCATTTTTGTAAAGCATGGAACATTGATAAATAAGTAAATAACTGGATAGATAAATACATACATACACTGAGAATAAATTGCGTCCATACTAAGTCTTTTCAGAGCACACTATTTCCCACAGAAATTCATTAACTTCTTGTTAAAAGAACAAATGAGGAGAGTTAATAGTAATGTTACAACCAATGACTCAGAGTGAAAGAGATGGTTGGTTTTGGTGCTCTTTTATGATAGGCAAGGAAAGAAGACATTGATGAATCTAGGCTCTTCTGGTGTTAACTTGTGAGGCTCATGAAAACATCAAATCAGAAAAATAGCCAGACAGTCTGAATCAGGACACTTGAATTAGAATCCTGCACCCACCAATGACAGCCGTGTGGCCCCAGGTAAGCATTCCATCTTATTTTGTAGAGTGTAATGAGGGAATGTACAGTTTAAGGGATATCTCAAAGATAAAGATAAATTAATTCAAATCTTTCAATGTGCTATGCAAATCCCGGTAGAATTACTATAAAAATAATTTTAAAAGCAAAGAAATATAGTAAGACAACTTAAGAAACATGTCTTAACATCTGAAAAAAATCACATATCCACAAGAATTCCCATCTTATAATGAAATAAATATAACTTTTAAACCATTTTAAACCACAGAATCAACAATGTTCATAAATTAATAATAATCAGAAATAGGAGACAGTTTATCCTAAATGATATTATCAAGTACTACATTAGGAACAATACTAAGATTCCAGGCATTGTCGAAAGCACTATACA